CTATTTTTATAGTTGTGCTTTGTCTAAAAAGGGATATTCGTGAGCTTTGTCCTTTTGCACTTCACAGGAACCAGCACCTATGACAGAAGATCTGCTAGAAGAGCAGTCTGAGGTTTTAGCTAAATTAGGTACATCGGCAGAAGGGGCTCACCTTCGAGCACGCATGCAGAGTGCCTGTCTGCTCTCAGATATGGAGTCTTTTAAGGTGGGTCACACTTTCAGAGCTCTGGGGTCTATTTTGAGCTATTCTGGGATGAAACTGTGAAAGTCACTCTATAAAGTGGTATGAAGGCCTGAATGTCTTTTTTTGTTAAGTGTTTGGATTTCATTATTAGTTATAACACCTTGCCACCATCCCCCAAAGGACATAGTCAAACTATGTCAAACCTAAGTTTAAAAAAGGAAAAGAACCAATCTGTTATTAATAGTTGAAAGTTTAAAATTGAATCATTTCTAAAAGTGCTTTGGGATGCTTTCTTCCTTTGTGTGTGTCTAGCCAATTTAATGCAAGGCTTTTAGGAAACCCTTAGGTTTTAACGTGGGTTGCTTCACTCAACAAACCTTTTGAGTGCCTACTATGTGCCTTGTGCTATGATTAGATGAGTTAAGAAATACAGTCTTTACCCTCATTTAATGTCTATTGAAGTTGTGGGAGAATATATGTAAATAATTATTATGTGATGAGCTCTCTTATGAAGGCAAGATCAAAAAGGTGACTCACTCTGCTGAGTAAGTCATGGAAGATTTCTTCGAAGAGTCACCATTTAGGATGAGTAGGCGTTCACTACCCGAAAAACAAACATTTTAGGCTTAGCTATCCACCTGTATCTAGAACATATGGGATTCAGGAAATGGTGACATTTGGCTTATTTGCTCAAAAATCCAAGAATGAAGAAAAGACTTTTATTTTCGAATTATTTATTCTTGAAAACAAAGGCAAGACCTTGTATATTTAAAACACAAAACAAAACCCCAAGTGGGTAGCCCAGTGGGCCACAGGGCCTCCTTTCCTACTGCTGATACTCTGAACTACGCCCCACGCCCAGGCTTTCCTTTCCCCGTAGTGGCCTCCATCTTCCCAGTCCCCAACCCTTACTCAGTCCTGCTTTTGTACTATGTAGGCTAGCTTGAGTTTGATTTTTCTCTGAAATACTTGTGTATTCTTTTTAAACATAAAACTCTATATGAACTCCTATGCCACTTTCATCCTTCCCTTCTAGCAGATTTAAGTAACAATAAAAGGGAGCCTTTTATTCCCTGCTTATTTTACTCATCTTTACTAAAAGGAAAAGTCTGTAATAAACCTCTTAAGAGCTATATGGTTTCCTTAGAGACTAAAAAGATACAGAAAATCTGTGAGTTCTATTCTGCCATGTGACGAGAAAGATATGTTGCTTTAAAACAAATAGTTGGTATGATGGACAAAGAGAAGCCATTTGGCTCTCAAGGCACGTGTAAAACCAAATTAGGGTGTGTGTGCACAGCAGGAAATAGCAGCCTCCACAGCACTTGTTTTCTACCTGACGTCTGGCTGCCTTCGTATTCATCTGTCCCTGTCCTGCTGTAGTATCTTTGCAGAGGCATGTATAGGAGGAGATTCTAAATAGGAGCTGTGAAAGTTTTTCCCCATGGAAATATACTGATCCCTCATGGTAAGGTTCTATATAGATCATATAATACTGTGCTTCAGCAACTGTGATCATTAGATTCTCTTGGACTAACCTGGGCACAAATCATGGATAGCATCATTTTAATCAGAAAGTAGATGGTAGTTCAGACAGCCAACTTAAACATCTGTCCCTGTGTAGGAATCAGATAATATATTTAAGGAAATACATAATCACTGTAAAACAGATATGATTGCCTTTACCTTTTTGTATAGAGATGATATAAGAAATACTAAGAGAGTCCCTAGAGCATTAGATAAATGCTAATATGTACCCGAAGCACCTACATCTCACAATTCCAGAAGGACAGGGCAGATTCTGGAGCATGCCCTTGTACCACATACCTTTAAGAGTAAAAAGAAGATAAACAGTAGCAGAAGTGAGCCTTGACCCTCTACTAGTAGCCTGGCATAGTAAGGACAACCAGAAGGAAGAATTCTGGTGTGAAAGGTCTTTCTTTAATCTATAATGCATGAGTTGAATATTATTTTCTTTTTAAGTTTGTTGTCTTCACTCAGGACCTATTGCTTTAGTTTCCCAAAATGTTTTCTTATGAGTATGGTGTTGTCTGGTTAAGATCCAGATCTTTGTACATGAATCCTGAGTCACTGAGTGACCCATTGCAATTCACAGCAGTTCTCATAAACCCTTAGAAATTTATGTTGACAGTAAATGGCCTTCCTCCAAATCCTCATTCCCTCAGAGGATTTCCTGAGATGGTTGGAATAGTGAAGTTGGTAGCCATTGAGTCCAATGAGAAGAAACTGGCAGTTTTTCCCTTCACATTTAAGACAGGCCATTCTCATTATATTGGTTTTTATGCTCATCCTTAGTACTCTACTAGTACATTACTGGAACTTTTGCAAACAGATCTTCATGACTTACCACTAACGCTATGAAGCCTCTTCTTTTATTCTAGGCTTAAGTAGAATCACTGAAAGGTTTTTGGCAGGCATCATCGTTAATTATATAGAATTACCGGTAGCCACTGAATAAAACTTTAATTAGTTTGCTTCTAGAAGCCTGAAAAACAATAGTTTGAATTCCAGTTCCTTAACAGCACAAAACCAATTTATGTGATGGTAATTTGTTATATAAAGCACAAGAATTTGATGTCTGAATAGAACATTTTTTAGGTTAGCTGGTGTTTATTGCAATACCAGTATTGATTTATTGAGGAAAAGAGAGGCAGAACTTTTCCATCACTGTGTTATTCTGATCATGTTGTGTATTATTTAATTTATTTGACTTGAGCTTCTGTGCTACTTTCCTAAGTATTGAGTAGTTATTACATTATAATTTTAAACTAAATTATGGAACCATATAATCTGTTTAAGAAAATGATTTTTACTTTACATCAAGTTTTTATTTCCAAATAAAAACAAATAAAATGCTTTTGAGACTTCAGCATCTGATCTGTTTTAAAAGTAACACCCAAACTCATTTTACCTGTTATATTGTAAAGATTAGAGTGGCTTTTTGTGAAATTAAAAGTATGACTTTTGCAAACAGGCTTATTAGTAACTGTTGATTTTATTTCATTCAGCTGAATTTTTTTGTCTTTATTTTAGGCTGCTAATCCAGGTTGTTGTCTGGAAGATTTTGTGAGGTGGTATTCACCCCGGGATTATATTGAAGAGGAGGTGATTGATGAAAAGGGCAACATGGTGCTGAAAGGAGAACTGAGTGCCCGAATGAAGATTCCAAGCAATATGTGGGTAGAAGCCTGGGAAACAGCTAAGCCAATTCCTGCTAGAAGGCAAAGGAGACTCTTTGACGATACACGGGAAGCAGAAAAGGTAATTGAAGTTTGAATTTCTACTACTAGAATGCTAACTATAATTCTTGCATTTTAGAAACTCAGTTATAGACATGGGAGCTTTGGACCCACTTGCGAAGCAAAGCATTAAAATTCAGTAAGTCTTCTATATATCTAGCATTCACATTTAAGATTTTAGAACTAGTTGAAAATAGGCCAAAGAAAAAACGTGCATAGTCTGTGCAGACTGTTTACCATTCAACTGTCTCACAGGATATGTTAAAAACATTAAAAATGGGCATGTCCTTTGACCTAACAATTAATTCTACCAACAAATTTATTAAGGAAATAATGAGGAATTACACAGAAACCTATTTACATGAATGAGATTCAACAAAGTCCTTAAGTGAAAAAGTAGAAACAATTGCAGTTTCCAACAGTAGGGGATTGGTTCAATAAATTATACTATATTCATTTAGTGGACTGCTTTGCAACTATTAAGAAACATATGGAGTTAGGGAGAATAATGACACCTACCTGATATCAATTGCCCTACATACCCTCCTGTCCTTTCCACCCCCAAGAAAACCGCATGCAATCAATAACAAGTCCATACATTCAGCATTACCAGGACATAGAGATTACAGTGACCTTCAAATTAGTAGTAAATAGAGACATAAGCCAAATTCCAGTGGAGCTCCCGCTGCTGTAAGCCTGTGGGTGTAGCGAGTGGGGGCAGGGAAAGAAAAAGAGCCAAGAGATGCAGAGGACTTAGATGAAACACAAAGTCTCCTCAGAAAGAGACAGCCTAACATGGTATGCCGAAATACTGGACACAGGTAGAAACTGGTAGTTCATGGTGCTGGCTATAGGGAAGGGGCTTGAATGTAAACAGGACTAGAAGTGGAGCCTGGGAGAGAATCAAATATATAGAGAAGGAATGACACGCTGTAGGGGTAAAGCAATGATGGGAAAGAAGGAATAGAGGGGAAAATTAAGGATCCTGTAGAAATGAAAGAGAAAGAAGACACTCAACCTCCTGCAGTCCTTTTAACCATTAGAGAAACTGCAGAAGAGGACACTGTCTGTGATATTACTAGGAATAGAAGAGAACAGACCACATCCATACAAAATGACTTTAAAAAACAGAAATGCTAACTGAATCATTTCAGCTAATGAAAATATTTCTCAGAATATCAGCCACAAAGCCAAAGAAAATTATAACATGACACTCCATACTGAATCAGATATCCTCAAACAGTTATGATGGAAACAAAAAATCATGCTTAATCAGAAATACTAAAACCAAGAACAGAAATGGATTTTAAAAAAGCCCACAAAAATGAAGTCACAGCTGATTTAACTCAGAATAGAAGTAGAAGAAAAAGACGACCATATTGAAAATGAAAGCTAAATTACAAGGGGCCCGAGAGAAATTTACATTTAAATTTAATAAAAGGCACTGAAGAAAAGCAAAAAAACCAGGAGAATGAGATAAAGGAATAAAAGGAGTGGGAAAGAAAGTAGAAATGCAAGGTAAGAAGAGTAGGAATAATATTCATTTTATTAGTGTCCTTGAAGAATAAAAATCAGAGCACAGGGGGTCGGTGAAGGATCTGAAGATGGCTGGGCGAAAACTTGCTCTAAAAACCATTGACTGGGTAGCTTTTGGAGAGATCATACCTCAAAACCAAAAGGCTATTGCTAATAACCTGAAATCTTGGAATGAGACCCTCACCTCCAGGTTGGCTGTTCTACCTGAGAATCCACCAGCTATTGACTGGGCTTACTATAAGGCCAATGTGGCCAAGGCAGGCTTGGTGGATGACTTTGAAAAGAAGTTTAATGCCCTAAAGGTTCCTGTACCAGAGGATAAATATACTGCCCTAGTGGATGCTGAAGAAAAGGAGGATGTGAAAACCTGTGCTGAGTTTGTGTCTCTCTCAAAGGCCAGGATTGAGGAATATGAGAAAGAGCTGGAGAAGGTGAGGAACATAATTCCATTTGATCAGATGACCATTGAGGACTTGAATGAAGTCTTTCCGGAAACCAAATTAGACAAGGAGAAGTATCCCTATTGGCCCCACCAGCCAATCGAGAATTTATAAAAAATTGAGTCTGAGAGGAAGTTCTGGCCCTTATATTACACACTCTGGACATTAAAGATAAAAATAATTATGTAAAAAAAAAAAAAATCAGAGCACTAAGGCAGAACTAACATAGTCATGCATGGCTTAACGACAGTGATACATTTTGAGAAATGCATCATTAGGCAATTTCGTCTTCATGCAAACATCATGAGTGTACTTACACAAACCTAGATGGTATAGCCTACCACATACCTAGGCTATATGGTATGGCCTACTGCTCGTAGGCTGTGAACTGGTACAACATGTAACTGAACTGAATACGGTAGGCAGCCGTAATATAATGGTAAGTACTTGTGTATCTGAACATATCTAAACATAGAAAAGGTATAGTAAAAGTGCAGTATTATGATCTTACAGGACCACTGTCACATATGCATCTGTTGTCGACCAAAACATTTTTATGTGGTGCATGACTGAATTTACAAACTGCAATCCAAGAAAACCTGAATCTACATATTGAAAGGGCTCACCAAGTACAGAGGAAAATTGACCAGGTGTAACAAGCTCTAACATACATTATTATAAAACTACTAGATCCTAACTGTTAAAAAGGAAAGTCTTTAGGACCTCTAGGCAAAAGTTGAAAATAACTTAAAAGGCAAGAGAATTAGGCATCATATTTCTCAAAAGCAACATTACAAAGCAAGGCAACATTGAGCGACATTTTCAAGAAATCTAAGGAAAAAGTGTGAACCAAGGATTTTATATTCAGCCAAGATATCTAAGTATCAAGGCTATAAGAAAACATTTTTCCCTGAGTTTTTGCCCATATAATACTATACACATATGCCCTTCCTAAGGAATCCACTAGAACTACATCCAATAGAACTTTCTGGATTGTTAGAAATGTTTTTTTACTATTTCATCCAAAATGGTAGCTATTGGCCACATGTGGCTTTATTGTATACTTGAAATGTTACTAATATAACATAGGAATTAAATAAAAAGGAGGGGGGAACCCATAGGAACTAAATTTGTAAATGGTTATGTGTTTATAGTGGCTACCTTATTGAATAGCATAGTGTAGGAGGATAAACTTTATCCAGCTAAGAGATAGCTGGGGAAACTGTGGCAAAGGACTTAACAGTGAGTATTTCATTTATTTAATTTTAGAATGAAGACTCTTGTTTTAGCTCTAAAACATGGGACATGGTAGAAGAAGAAGATGTAAAAATTATATGTTTAGACAAAGTAGAAAGAGTACAACTTTTTAAAAAATTGGGATGGAAAAGGGAGAAAGGGGGAAGGAAGTAGAATAAATCATTGGTTCTTACACAGATAATAGGTAGTAATCAGAGGATGCCATTTAAAATTCAGACCAGAGTGTAAAACAGTTAAAGATATAAGGGAATTAAGGGCGCTGTAAAAAGTATTAATGTGAGAATATATATAAGAATAGAAGGCCGGGTGCGGTGGCTCACGCCTGTAATCCTAGCACTCTGGGAGGCCGAGGCGGGTGGATTGCTCAAGGTCAGGAGTTCGAAACCAGCCTGAGCAAGAGCGAGACCCCGTCTCCACTATAATAGAAAGAAATTAATTGGCCAACTAATATATATACAAAAAATTAGCCAGGCATGGTGGCGCATGCCTGTAGTCTCAGCTACTCGGGAGGCTGAGGCAGGAGGATCGCTTGAGCCCAGGAGATTGAGGTTGCTGTGAGCTAGGCTGACGCCACGGCACTCACTCTAGCTTGGGCAACAAAGCGAGACTCTGTCTCAAAAAAAAAAGAATACAAATATAAATTTTCCCAAATACCAAAAGTTTTTGTTTTTGTTTCTATTACCTCAAGCATTTATCTTTTCTTTATGTTGGGAACATGACAGTTCTTCTCTTCTAACTATTTTGAAATAACAATTATTAACTATAATTTTCCTACTCTATCAAATACTAGAACTTATTTTTTCTATCTAACTCTACTTTGTGCCCCTTAAACAACTTCTCAACCCCCTTCCCTTTCCAGCCTCTGGTAGCTACCATTCTACTCTCTCCCTCCATGGGATTCACTTCCAAGAGAAGTTTTTTTAAAAAGCAAACACACCAAATAGAGAAACACACATAATAAAGATCATATTACACACAGAATAATCATAAGATAGTCATATAAAACCCAGCTATGTACTGTAAACAGGAGATGCCATGATTCAGAAAGGCGACAAATTAAATGGTGGACAAAGATTTGCCAGGTAAATGGAAACAGAAAGCAGAGGTCACAATTCTTGTACCAAACAAAATAGAATTAAAGGAAAAAAGCCTTAAATGAGATCAAAAAAAGATTATTTTATAATCTAAAAGTTATTTTTCACAATGATGATCTAACAGTCATTCATGCACTAGATAACATGGTAACCACTCATATAAAACAAAAACTACAGGACTTGCAAGGAGAAATAGATCAAAACACTGTAAGAAGAGAGGACATACTATTCTCTGCATAAGACAGTCAAGTGATCAAAAATAAAGATCTAAACAAGATATTCAGTAAGTTTTTATCTTTTAGATGTATATCAAATACTACATCTTGATAATATAGAATGTATTTTCTTTTCAAGCATACATGGACCATTCATAAAAATTTATTAGGGCACAAAAAAGACCATCAGTAGGCTTTATAATAAAAATGTGTTATAACCAGTAGTCTGATATCTGTATTAAAACTAGAAATTAAAAATGAAACAACAAGCCGGGCATGGTGGCACGTGCCTGTAATCCGAGCTACTCGGGAGGCTGAGGCAGTAGGATTGCTTAAGCCCAGGAGTTTGAGGTTGCTGTGAGCTAGGCTGACGCCACGGCACTCACTCTAGCCTGGACAACAAAGCGAGACTCTGTCTCAAAAAAAAAAAAAAATGAAACAACAAAACCCAGGCCTTCCATCCTGTAATTTACAAACCTTCTTTTAAACAATGCTTGAGTGAAAGGAGAAATACAAAGAGAAATTATATAGGTTCTGAAAAATGATAATGAAAATATTACAAGTTAGAACCTATAGGATATATTTAAGAAGTGATCAAAGGAAAATCCATAGCCCCAAACACCTATATCAATAAAAACAAAAGAATGAAAATAAATGATGTAAATTCCTAATTCAAAAACCTAGAAAAAGAACAACAAAGTAAAATCAAGAGAAAACAGGAGGAAGGAAATAAAGATAAAATGAAATATAGAATAGAAAAAGAGATCAGATTAGTAAGTTAAATCTGGTTCTTTTAAAAACAACAAAATAGACACTGTTAGCTACTTCAATCAGGAAAAAAGGGAATGGCATATATATACAAAATAAGAAAGACAAAAGGGGCAAATAACCACTGATATGAAGGAAATGTTTAGAAAACTACTTTGTACATCTTCTGAGTATACAAATTTTAAAGCCAAGTTGAATTGGATAATTTCCTAAGCAAATTCCTACCAAAACACAATCTCGGTAAAGATGGAAAGTGTAAACAGACCAGTCTCTATAAAGACAGTTATCAAGGAACTCTACCACATAAAAAAGAACAAGGCCCAGATGGTTTCACAGGGAAATTCAAATAAATATCAAGAAACCATATAGGCCCAATGCTAAATAAAACTTCCAAATTCTTTTTTGAAGCAACTATAACATTGGTACTGAAACCTGATAAAGATGATATATTAAAAAAATATATAACAAAACCAAGTAACACTTAAGAAATTCAATGCAAAAATTCTAAGTGATGAGACTCTACTACTACTTAAAGAAAATAATGCATGTTGATCAAATGTGAGAATGATTATTTAGAAGTCTTTTTATATAATTCACTTCATTAATAAAAACTTGAGAAAATATATATTGGCTACTTCTTTTAAAATGAGAAAATGTATAGAAACCTTAATCCTGAACACAGCATCTTAATGGGGTAAGCCCTAGAGGTCACTAAAGTCAGGAACAAGGCAAGGCTGCCCACTCCCTCCACTGCCATTAAACATTATACTGGCAGTGTTAGACAATGTAATTAGGTAAGAGAAAGCAGAGGCATAGGAGTTGAAGAGAAGGAACTCTGTTTGCAGATGATATGACAATAGACCTGGAAAAATCCAAAGTATCAATGATAAACCAATTCAAACAACAGAATTCAGCAAGGCAGCAGGATATAAAGGTAATTAGCATTCATGTACACTAATAACAACCATTCAGAAGATGGAAATAAAATTTTCTCTTCATTATAAGAGGAGAGAAAAGGTAATATATTTAGGACTAAACGTAACAGAAAATGTTTGAAATCTGAATGAAGAAAATAAAACATTCCTCAAAGACACATGTGAACAAATAGATTATTCCTTGTTCTTGGTTAGGAAGTCTCAATATCATCAAGGTCAGTTCTCCCTAAATCAGTTTATTCCTAACTTTAGTGCAATCCTAATAAAAATACCAAAAAGTTTCATTATGGAGCCAGACAAGTTGATACTAACTAAAGTTCATATGGAAAAAGAAACATTCCATCCTAGGATTTGGGTTGGGAAAGACATGGGGAGTGACTACTAATGGGTTTCTTTTGGGGGTGACGAAAATATTCTAGAGTTGATTGTGGTTTTGGTTGTATAACTCTGTGACTATACTTAAAACCATTAATTTATACACTTTTGCATGGGTAAATTATTTTTAAAAAGCATGCATGAATAGCTGAGAATCGACTGAAAAGGAAGTGCCTTGGTGGGGAGAGGAAGGACTAGCTCTACCAGATATTAAGGCATAGTGCATAGCCTACATGTTTAAATAATGTGATGATAACGCACAAATAGCCCAGTGAAACAGTACATAAACAGTGTAGAAGTCTAGTTCATGATAAAGATGGCATCTCAAATCACAATGGCAGAGATGGCCTTTTTAATAAATGGTGTTGGAATAGCTGGCAAAAAGTAAAATTAGCTCTGTCTCTCATACCATACACAAGAATGCACTGAAGATGATATCATAAATATACTGGAAGAAAATACGGATGAATTCCTCTGTTATCTGGATATAGGGAAAGGCTTTCTAATTTGGACTCAAAATCCAGATGCAATTTTAAATTTGGCTGTGTAAAATAAAA